CGTTGGAAGCACTGTCTGACGCGTCTGCCTCCGCGACCCGAAAGGAGAGGCGGCGATGGAAGATGAAGATAAAATCATTGCTACCGAAACTAATGAACCGTGGTACAAACGACAACCGTTTCAAAGAATTCATATTCATCAAGAATTTTCGAAATTTAGCTGCCAGGCATGCAGTTTGACTTCCATGCTTAGGAACCAGTTTATGAAGCCGAAGTAATTATACTTACGCCATGAGGTGGCCTTGGAACAGGGCACTTGTATCGACCGTCGAACTTTTCTTTGTTTTCTCGCCAGTAGTCAAGAAATTGAATGAAAAGCACGCCAATGCCGACGAGCGTTGCCAATGAACGGCGTATATTCCATGCTGAACCCCTAAACGTTTTGATGACTGCTAAAGGTACAAGTTCGAAAATGGTTTGTTGTTATGGGAACATAACCATAATCATAAGTCCTTTCTGATGCACCGCTTCGGAAAAGCCCCTTGAAAAGTTTTCTAAGGTATAGTGTCTTCTGAGAATTTCATACAATTTGGTTCAACGAATTTCTCGAGCTTTTCTGGTCATCACACTAGAAGTCTTCCAATTGTCTCTCTGTCTGTTCACTCTGTGTTGGAATACAGCATAACATCCGTTTGATCCAGCGATATTCAACCGCTTTTGCACTGACTTTTCAGAGTCTTCAGATTCTTACAGATTCGTCCTTGTATTACCACGCCGGTCTTTTGTCGGTGTTCTTAGTCATCCGACCGTCTTCCAGTTTTCTCCTGTCATCCCCAACATTCACCTTCCCATGGTGCATTGCATATGGATGTATGCAGCAAGAGCACAGCTTTCTAGTTTATGATCCACGTTTTGGCACCAATCCTCAAAATTGAGAAAACCCGCTGACCGAAGATATATACTTTCACGCACAATACATCATTGTTAAAGAGCACATCATGTAAGTTTTGCTTCTCCGTTGATTTTATGCCCTTCTGTTGATTCTGTGTTGTTGAGGTCACTGTCCCAGATGGGCGGAGTCCACTCTTCGAGCGTTAACCCATTGACTCCATGAGTTTGTGGGATCCATTTTCTCATATTAAACACGAGTTTCAGAAAGAATAAATGAGAAACTGATGCTATGAGATTTTTCCCAACATCAACGTCAAGTTTTTTTTATGTTAAAGTGATCGCAATGAACATCAAATACCTTGTTGGCCTTCTGAAAATTCTAAGGCAGCATCTCATCAACGTTTTGACAAGAATAGGCTTTCGTTTTTCGTATCGTAGATTCGACATGAAGGCTCTTTGCCTCCAAACAGTTACTGGAATGAAGCCTCCTCGCTGACAGCCGCTCAGCCAGATTAAATTCTGTTTGCCATCAAAGAAGTTCGTTTCCGATCCCCATGCAGTAGAACAACCCATTTTAAACCGCTGCATTCAACACCAGCCGAGTAAGCCGGTGTTAGTGAGTTTGTTCTCGGTTTCGATAGACAGGGTCATTTGAATATGCTCAAACCATCTTGCGAGTTTCGCCCTCGTAGCAGCAAAAGGTAACTTAGCGATAGCCTCAGTGACAGGGTGAATCACCCTAGGGCACCGACAAAGTAGAAGGTCAGACGGCATTAATTGTTGCTTTGAATATATATTAAATGGACTGTTTGTTCATCCATTCCACAAATAGCGCTAAAACTTCCCTGGAACCAGATTCTATATTTCATTTGATCAATGATCAAATTTTGGTTGTTCTTTTCACAGGCAGAGGTTTCACGGATCGTGCACTTCGAGGAAACAGTACATGTGTAACAAGGTTAGATAAGTACTTTCGATCCAGTGTCTTAACCAGTCATTGCCTTTGTAAATGACCGGGAGCGTTTTGTTAAGGTCACGTTCTGGCCAGCGGTCGTGCATCAGCCATTTGCCCAATCCATATCAGCGTGAGTTTCAGGAGGTGATAAATATACCAGGATCGGACCGCAAGTGAGTGATGCCAGTGAAAACCCGATGGACAGCACAGGACGTTTAATAACATTAGCTGCCAAGTGGTATGGGTCGGCCATGACAGGGCTACCTGGCTGTCGTCACTCTGGCAGGTACCCCGGAGTGTACCTGACAATCTAGAAACAGTAAAAGAAGGCCTGTTCGGCCAGACAGATGCGCTTGAAGCTTTGACCATGCATGGGAGGCGAAGAAACTGTTATTAGTCGTTGTGCGCATCCCTGTAGAGTAAAACTTCCTACCCTGATAATGGTAAGCCACTATCTTTATAACTCACCTAACTTTTGAGTTACGTGGTGGTGAGCCCTCATTGTAACAGATCTGCGGTCTCAAACACTGAGGCAACTAGGCGTCTTCCCTCATTGTTTCCAACACTGGTTTGGGAAATAAGCTTTGTTTTGTATTGTCTTGAGAAAAAATTTAAATTCATAAAGCTATTCGACTGAGATATCCACAGTCATCGAAACGTGTTGTCTAATCGAAGCAAAAACTTCAACGCTTACTTTTCTTGTCGCTGCAAAGCCTGTCGACTTTCTCGGTCAACGTTGAAAGTCAGCTTTGTGTTAGATAGAAACGAAGCCAGCGAATGATGTTTGGTAAGGGTACATAAGAATCCCAGTTTCATAAGTAACTTGGCCATCTCGCTGAGGGTACACCACAAAGAATAAAACTGAAGAAAGTACTGCTCCTTGGGAAGACGATATTCCTTAACGCAAAAAGAAAACAACCAGTGTAGATGACGTAGTCACAATATACAGATCAATGTAACTTATTTAGAAAATGATAAATATCAAAGTAGCGCATATCTAAATTTTCAATACCACATGTCATAACGAATATAAATTTGGTTATAAAAGTAATAACAGTCATAAAGCGTTGTTCATTTACAGAGTAGTTAAACATATGTTAATTGGAATCAGAAGACTGGTCATAGATGCAATCATTACATTTCAAAGATTTCAATTGAATTAACTTGCAAGAAGGCTAAGGGCATATTGGAAGGATAAGCCTCTAATGCATGTGTTTCTCACTGTCGCCAATGAGACAATCTTTGCCACGTATTTGCTTGCTACGGTTGATGCCTTTGACTCCCTGTTGATTTGTATTCATAAACCGCATTACGGTTTTCTGCCAAAATCCCGTTGGAGGGCAAACGCGGTAAATGAGACTGATGTCAAGGAGCGGCGAAACTGAAACTGTTACAGTCAATACGTCTTCTCAACTTTGTTTTAACAAATGCATATGTTAAACGTGGAAAAGAGACTTTGGCGTGCACAAGTCACCGAGAGATATGAATGTCTGAGCAATGTTCATCCAGGAATCTTTGATTTCCATCAATCAATACGAGTCACAGCATAATTGTTTTGGACAATTTTGTGTTTCTGACTGCACTCAATAAATCAAAATAAGGCTTATGAAAAAATAGATTTATGACGTAGATCAGCCAGCGATCTTGACTAGTGTCAATTGGATGGTTTCGATTTGATGAAGACGTTCTGTGTTGCCATCTGTGATGCAAGAATCGACGATATATGCCTATTTTTCCAGTATTTTCATAGAAATGTTCACGTCGAACTACAAAGCAACAACGGAATATCCACCATGTATGGAATACGATGAAGTCTATGCTTTTCAAATGCATTTCCTCGCAATATGGTGGAACACACATCCTTGAAATCTGAAGTTTAATGGAATTATATATTTACAAAAGATTGACTATTATGCATAGCTGATTGCCAATGTAAGGCGCTCTTTGGGCGTCAGCTGGACATTGAAAATTTGTGGCCGAATTCCTTCCGATCAGAGACGAAATACTGAGGTGATCTGGTGGAAAAATACAGGACAGACAAGAATGAACGAACGGTAGTTGTGTAACAACAAGAACTTGGAAGCCACCACCTTCCATAAAACAGCGAAACTTCCCAGACTACACGACAGATAGGTAGTCATTGCAACTAATTTTCAGTTAATGAACTACCACAGTAATCAATTGTTAACTTATTCTGTTGATAGATACCGTGATCAGTCACTCATGATATAATCTGTTATTAATTTATTCCATGATATAATCCACTGTTATTTATTCCATTGTTACGTATGGTAATCACGAACGTTACACTTTATATGATGCATTTACCTTTTCCTCCAGATTTCTCCGCATCGTTTTAATCTTGGCCTCGAAATATGGAATGAAGACCTAGTGTTAAGGGACATAATCCTCTAGGCAGATAAATGTCCTGACGCTTACTGTACACAGCAAGGAACGTATCCGCTGGCTTCGGCTAAGTGGTGCTCCACTTTTTGATGTTCGTCGAAAACCGTACAAATATTCGCAGAAAGAACCGTCTAAAAGAAGGTGCACTGAGAAACTGCCTCATTCGACTCTCGGGCTAAGAAACAGCTGGCTGACCATGGTTTTTCAAAAAGTAACATTCGGTTATCGACATCACGACCATATACATTTCATCGAAATTTCTGACCACAGCTGCCAGCGGTTTTGGCCATGTCCTTGCAGCACACTAAACAAGCAATATTAAGCACCAACAGGGTCCCACCGTTTTTCATACAGCGGTTTTCCGGTGTTTTAAAGTTAGCTGTTTCAACTAGGAGTAAGTTTATTGGAACATGATCATAATCGAATCTGCAACATACCACGTTATGCGGACTTCATGTCCCCGATTTAATGAAATTTGCCCAGTTTCGACCGAAAATCTTTCTTTGATTCATATGTCGTTATTTATTTTTAATTAATAATTCTCTATAATTAAATTGCATATCTCACATAAGGGGCGTTGTGGCATTGTGGCAAAAAGTCGTCGTTCAAATCCTGAAAGATGAAAGCATTTGTGTTAATCGAGAATTACCCTGACCAACGAATTCACCCTGCGCTACGATAAACGTGCATCAGTTTGTTGACTTACGAACAACAGGAACGGCGTGGTGATTTTTTGTGATCATATCAGAGCTGACTGATGATGCAGCCGTCCTGTCCTGGTCATCGCTTCCAGTGGCTGCACTTTGCTTTGATAATCCGATACCTTAATATGTAATGTGATAATTAATCCGAGGTTAATCCCGTTGTTGTTGTAAAGTTTGCCGATTCACTTTAATTATCTTGGCATTTACGCGATTCCCCTTGGAAAATATTTTTACAAGTGTTAAAATCTATTGTATACAAGTTCTCCAACGTTTCGGATCATATTCGACCTGTCTTCATGTTACAGACATCTAAAGACGGATCGTGTTCGATGATCCTAAACGTCGCAGAACTTGTACATTATAAGTTTATAGCAGAGTAATCCAGTAATCCCATGAAGTACTTGTCGAGTGTTGAACTAAATTCCTTCATGAAAAAATCCACTTCGGTTTAATAAGTAGTAAAATCATTAAAATTGATGAAATCCTTTCTTTTCTTGACTATCTCACGTAATGTGATAGAAAATATCAGAATACAATTATGAACCGATATTTGTGACAAACGTATTGTCATCAGAGGGCACTATAATAATAAATAATGCGCAGAGCATGCCGATTCTTAATAGACGGGTGAGGATTCAATCATAATTTAAATTTCCGAGACTGCATTTAGTTTAAAGATTATAAAGCCAGCATAGCCGAAGAGAGGGGTAGCACTGTTGCCAAGGACACGAGTGTCTGTGTCTTTTGAAAAATTAACACAATTCTAAAAATTTATTCTTGTTGGTCATGAATATTTTTATATAGTTAAATATTATCAGATTTATTTGTGAGACAAAAACCACATAATCGAAAACATAAGCCTGATTCTGGAGTAGACTCCAAGAATTGGAGCTTTCGATACCGCTGCTAAATACATGATATAAAAATGAAAGTACTGGATTGAAACGGCGAAAGTCAGAGTTTAAAGAAGGAAAGATGTTTTCCCACTTTACACAGCTGTGTTATTGTGTCGCTTTGTTGCTTCTAGTCGCTTGGGGGGGGGCATTTAAGGAGACCACGATTCACGGACA